GGACTTTATTAGAAAAGTTCATTTGTTGATAATGATGTTTTGAAAAATGAGTGGTAATCCACACCATCTGACTGATGTCTCTTTGACGTGCCTTTTCAGCCATTTTTTCATTTTGATCAACATCAGTGATCATTTACATTATATAAGTGTCTTTGTACAGTGAAAGACGTAGTTTCATGCTTCGCTTATACTAAACTTTTCGCAGTTAGGGAAATGGAAATTTTTTTAAATTAATTTATAAATGTTTATCAGTTAAGTTTTTGGAATATTTTGTGCTGTTAATTTATATTTATTATCTAATGATCTTTGCAAGTTTTCACTGCAGTTTTTATTCGAAGGTTGAATTAATTTTTAAGGCTCGTGCCGATGCGATGTCGTAGATCTATGTTCTAATTAGGACGATTTGATGTCGGATCAGTTGCAATTCGTTTCTGTTTGAAATTGTCACAACTAGTCTTACGCACCGCTCTGAAGTGCTCTTCACTTGTACTTCATTATTTGTAAAAATCTTTTGTTCTCGACCCTAATCCATACTTCCATTTGCCGATCCTCATTACAAGAGAGTGTCATCCCTTATAAGCTCTAGCAGTTCCTCGTTTCTTTTAACTTTGCCTTGTCCTACATCACACCTGATTTTTTAGGTTCTTGCAGTTAGTGAAGCTTTGCTTCACGTATAAGTGATTTGCATTTTACGTTACCAGCGTTAGTAATCTGTAGCGGCTCTGAAGTGTAATCCGGGTTCTGTTAGATCCATGTAGTTTCTTAGCTGACGAGCTGTTGCATTTGCCGGCTCTTGCAGTTTGCTAAGTGTATTTATTAAGCTTTCACAGCATAGTTAAACGTGCCAAAGCCTAGGAGCTCCGCTGTACATCGTCTTGTGAACCAGTTGTCACCTTCGTGCTACTTTGAGGTACTGGAAGAAGGAGTTAAACGGAAAGAGCTTTCATATAAAACTTGAGCAGAGTTTGGAACAGTGCAAAACTCTGCAGAACTCCAGGTCGATTTCGTACCGTCGATGAGCTACGCCTCCGAACGGAAGCAAACAGCTGACAGTGCTTGAAACTATCCCTCAATTAACGGAGTAGGATCTGATCTGTTCATACGTCGTGCAATTTAGCAAAAATCGCTACTGAAAACGTTAAATACTGATGACAGATCGATAAACAAAAGCCTTTTCAATATTTCTCTTTGGTCAAGTGCGAATGCAGTAAATCAGCGGCTTTAAAGTATCTAAAATTTGTTAACGAAGATGGCCAACGATATTGCCTAGTGTACAGGCGACTTTTAACTATTTGTGTGTCCAAAGACTGAAAACATTACAGCATTATAGAAGTCACTAGTTGAAACATTTGGCTAGTAAATTCGATTGAATAAGAAACAGCCACTCTTCCATTTTACAGCTGCCATCGCTGAAGAATCGATAGTATGAGTATTTAATTTTCGTACCGTTGTTCAACTTTTTTCATATGCAGCCTTGTGTTTATATTATATTCGTGCGTCCTTGAACTTACTGCTTAATAAGTTTTAAATCTAAAAGAAAAAACACCACAAATGAAGAGATCTAAAAATATGGTAGCCAACGATTGGAAATCAGGGGATGCATCATTAGTCTTTTTCGGATATAATTTTTTGATCGCTGTAGATCTCTAACCGTTTCTTCGCTGTCATTTTTTGCAAACGTCTTCAGCGAACTGCCTTCTCGAAGTGAGGATGTCACAAATTTCCTGCTTTTCACGCAAACCACTCTTCACCCATTGTCTCCGGTTATTAAGCCTCAGTACGTTTCGCTTTATGCTCAAT